AGTCTATCTCAGAACAATGTGAATCGGCGAGCCATTTTGGCATGCACCCACAAACTCTGCTCATAGTGGTCATACAATCGCGGCAGATATCTGGGGACGAAAATTCCAAGTACAATGGGGGATATTTTGTGTGCGAGATCGCGTTGAATAGTTGAACCCATCCTTTCCCCAAACAGGTTTCATGATAATCCCCAAGGACGAAATTCGCAGTCTGTGGGCTGCACCAAAAAGATCCATCTATCCAAAAATAAGTTTCATTATGAGTAGGATTTGTCATATTGGCTGAATTTGAAACAGAATAGTTACATTCCACCAAAAGACTCCAGATTGGTGATCAACTGGTACATCAGATGGTTCGTGTATTTTCGCAGCTCATTCTGGAACCCACTTTTGCTACTGCTGCTCCAAACTATCGTGACAAGGCAAAAGCGGGTCCAGTATGTGTGCGCCCGCGCGCAAAGAAGTACTAATCACACATAGAGTGCCAGTGGAGTCTAGTTACTTCAGGAATCACGTAAACTGACGATGGGAAATCCCGTTGCATGTCACTAGTTCTTTTCATTAATGCACTTACATCGGATTTTGTTATTTTTGATTTCTGATATCTCCATTAGTCGAATCTTGTATTCGACTAAATTCGACATTCCTGCAGCATTCGGATAACTTAATTAGCAAAGTTAAACTGAACCCGGTGCAAGGTAGTCCGGTTGCAACTTGGCCTCACTCGCCGTCGCATATCTTGGACCATGTCACGAATCTGATTTTCTACACACATTAAATAGACAGACGGCATTTTATGATCAAATAATTTGTGTTGTGCACTATTGAATTTAAGGACTAAACTCAAAAAATCTACATTCTCGAAAAATTGCAAATGTCCAAATCCAAAATTTGTTGCTCACTTTCGTAATTGTCTTTTCAACGTATTGTTTTGTTGCGTTAGCTTTCGTTACGTTCTCTCAGATGTGGTTGGCTTCATAAAAATATCGCATTTCGTTCCGGAAGTGTCATATTCGTTATTTCGTCTGTTTAGCACTTGAAGGGTTCTGTTTGTATTAATAATCCTACTCTGAATGATAATAATGTTATTTATAATAATAGTAGTTATTCATTTTGATAAATGAACAACTTCACGATCGATGATCATGAATGGGACTTCGATCGATCCGTGCGAATTGAAATCGATCGCACCACCTTCAGGCTGACGTGTCGATTCTTTTCAAAGTCTGACTTGTCTCAAAATACTTTGTCTCCAGTCGCCCGTGATGATTTTGAATACTTTCATACGAAACTCGTGTACTGAATCGAAATTTTCTGCAGTTTGACCGGATTTTGGTCGGTCTAGGTCAATAGTCTCACATTTGAGGCGATTTCGTTCAATATCCTTAAAATCTGTTTAGTTCAAGAACAAAAACGAAAGCGGGTATCGATTGCGGTTGTTTGACAGTTAACAGTTTGTTGTACAGTATTGGTGCTTCCCTCTTCCGACCGGTTGTTGCCACTATCTACCACTGGGTGAATGACAGTTACAAACAGATGTTGCGTTTTGGCTGACTTACATATTTCCTTTTCCTGGTTCATTGATCTATAACAAATTGTTCTGACCTGCTTTCTCTTTCTCTCTCTGTCCGTTTGTATCATAATTACTCTTGTCTATTCCATAATCATTTTATGGTTTGGGTTATTCTTACGTGTGTATCATTTTTTAAACTCCATTTATGCTTTTTTCCTCGGTCAAGAAGACCAATCAATTCGTTAACTTTTTTTCACCATCTCCTTGTACACCTTACTCGCGAAAACCGTGCGTATTATCTCCTCATCCCAGTTTCGCGAAGAAAAATAACACGATAGAATCAATTCAGCTTTTCATCACCAAATCGCTATCATTTCCGATTCGTAAAATTCCCAGCCGAGAATGTGACAACGCAATCGTGGTAGACGTCTTTAGTATGAAGAAGAATCGTGGCTGCCAAAGCCGGCGATTCTCGAATATGATCAATCCAGAAATGAAAAGGCTCCGGCGAAAAATGAATACCCCGAAGATTTTTAGAGCGTGCGTCCCAACTTTATCGGGGTCCCTATTTTTGCTGTTTTATGCTATTCGAGGGTGGAGGTATTCCTCAAAGTTGGATTGAACTGAATCACACCTTCCATTTTTAAACCGATGAACAGCACAATCCTCGATAGGATCAGTCGGTCTAACATAAATGACAGCCCGGTGATAGTCAACTTTAGGAAGTCTTGGTATATCGTTTTCGGGTGTCTGTCTTCGTCTCGCGTGAAGAATAGACAGAGTCTCGCACAAACTCGGGGTTTAGACCGGGATTTCCGCTTTTCAGCTTCACCAGTAATTGAATAATGCTCCGTTGTACTAGCTGACTCCCGGGTTAGGCTTGGGGTTTACATATGTTCCAGCACGTTGGTTGTGTATTTTGAGGTTGCGGACGACATTGTGGTACTTGGGGGAGGATCGTTCCACATGAGTAGTAATCATCATCCGCATCTATGACGTTGCAAATGACACTGATACCGATCAATNTACAGTGAAAATTTTAGCTTTTTCCACCACACCCGATTGTCAGACGTGTTCACTGCTTATACATGGAAATCCAATCGAAGTTGTGGAGTCCTTCGCAAAAAGGGAATAAAGTTTCACAAAAACTTGGTCAGGAGGGGAATTCGTACGGCTTCGAAGAACATGGTGGATATAACGAAATAAGCCTTGATACTTCTGTATTATGGGAGCTTAGGATCTTCACTTGTGGGTGATTTTTGACCACACCTGTTTGCTCTTTGAAACAGAAATTGTCATCGTTCCTCCGATAGTGTCATCTTCAGTGATTTGATCGTGTTCTCCGGCGACCAGAGGATGGATGCACTTTCACGATACAGTCCCCCCCTGGTTTCCCNGACAGTACTGCCGCTTCGGCTGTCCGGCAAAAAACGTGGATCAAAATCAAGACCGATATAGAGAACCGGGATCCGTTTCCTGTCTACTATTGGCGTCGATGGGCCCGACGACTGAATATCCATTAGTGCTGCTCTGGCTGCAAAGTGCCTGGCACGGTCAGATGATGCTAAAGATATCCTTGGTGCTGACCCGTACTCATATACCAAATAATCGCATAAACGTAATGTATTTAAGGCAAGAAGTAAAAAAATTGGACACAGTACAAAGATGCCGATAGAGAATTCAGACAGGTTTGCACGAGCTCTACTGTTTACGATACCTAGTCTGTCGAGTCATCAATTACACTGATCCAGAGTCTCCCAAAGGTAACCCTAACACGATCTATGTGAACGAGACCCCTGATCAAGATTTTTTTTACCATCATGCCAGTCTTAGTCTGACTCGTGACCCATTGATTTTTTCCACTGTCTACCGGCCTCGGCAAACATTGGGCCTCGAACAAGATTATCAGTTGATATTCGTAACACGTCCCAAGCGGCGTCATCTATATGGGTAAATCATTTGTTACGTTATTTGTGCGGTTGAATCAAAGGTATTGGGAGATAACGTGTGTTCGACTCCACTGTCCTCGCGATTCCCGACGGTGGTTCTGTTATCAGAACGGCGGGTTTCGGTCGTCCAAATCGTCCAGCACATGTTGGTCGTTGAACTGTTCTGGTTGCACACCTCGTCCTCGGTGATTTGCCTGGTTCTGTTTCTTTCCGTACAACTTTTGACCGTCTATCCTGTAAGCAGGTAGCCACTTATCCTAGTCAAATTTCAATCACTAAATGTCGTGATTTCACCCTAGCAATCTTCATTTTTTCTTTCTCGGAATCGGTAAACTACGGAACTGTTCCAATCCACCCATACAATCTTTCAGTCTTTCAAAGCAAGATCTACAAATGGGCTCTTACGTGAATTCTCTGTCCTCACAAATTTTTCCAGCATATATATATATATATATATATATATCTGTACTGTAATTCACCTTATGTGTAATGTAAAAAAGACGGCAATCGGGCACTTGTATGGTGGTGGTGTCGGTGCAACTCAATTCGAATATCATCACATTGTCACCGGTAGTGCGTGATTCACTGACCGCCTCGAAGATCAAAATTTATCGAGAGGTCGATGCATCCGTTTTTTCCTTCCTTTGTTGCTTCCGGAAACCAGCATTTTAGCCGATGATTCATCCATCCTCAGTTCGCATTTGATGGATCACATGACGGTGCTTCATTTGATGACGATGTTGATACACACACACACACACACACACTATACCACACTTTTTCGAGACTAAACAGCGCTTTGATCTGTTTTGTGCAAATTGTTTCAGGCTGAGTGACTCGGATATTTGACAGTGAGAGAGAGAGTGTGTGTGTGATTAACCGCAACCATCATACGACTAATCTGGTTCGTTCTTTGACTGACTCACTCACCGTGTTCCGATTGGGAACTCAAGCATTCAGCCTTGTCGGAGCTGTTAAAATAGCCGATGTATTAGTTCGGACCGATCATCCTTCAAAATTTACCTCCATACATAATCCTCACTTCATCCAATCAAACGTTGAATCGGGAAATGCTAGATTCGAGTTGATAGAACTCATCAATAATGCATATATGCACACTATTGAAGGCAATACCTAAACGCATTCAAGTTGGCGGTCGTAACCAGCCCTTTGTTTACGTGTTTGGCATATCGGTAACACACCATCCTTGCGATGGCTCCGGAATTCCAATCCCGGACAGGGCGGTGGATCTGCATTACTGATGAGCTCTAAGGGAAGAGCAACTGGAGTCTGGTCCTTCTCACCTGTTTGATGGACTACAGGAACTGCGGATTGTACCTGACGGTGGAGTTCATTTCGATATCAGTTCTCTCATATTCGAATTCACCGTTAACTGTGAGTATTAATGTGTCAAACGACATCCGTTTATCGTCAACATCTTTCAAACCTGAATCTGATGGAGTTCTTTTTCGTACAGGCTGTTCTTAAACTGTGATTCAGAATCAACTTCGTCGGTTAACTGCTTCCAGTTGCAACGAACAATGTTGAATTTCATTTCCATACAGATTGCCCCAGACGCCGTTCCGGTCAGACTTTGACTAACCGGATGCTGTCGTTACCCCTCGCTCCCTCCCTCCCTACATTCCTCCCTGAAAAAAGAAACAATTCACCAAGTTTGACTTGAACAACGAAGAAGCCTTTCACTCTCGAGCAAGACAAAGTAATTTTTGCCATATAAACATGAGAATTGGAAAAATATATGAGCAATGCGAGTAAAACGTAATCAAAAGACCGACTTTGCGTGCCGTGGGAGAGGGAGAAGTAAATGTAAAAGGAGACCAACCGAGGGAAAACAGAAAAATTCTCTGGAACAAAGGGGAAGCGAGTCAAAATTGATTGATAAGAATAAGAGACTTGTCTAAGAGAGATTGAAAAGATTGTTGCAAATGTGGCTGGTAGAATCCGGTGCAGATAG